ACACACACACACACACACACACACACACACACACACAGCCCAGACAAAGAAGAGCTAGAGGTGTCTGGGACTGGAAAGAAACTGAGGGGGAGAGTTCTGAGCTGCCAGCTGACATTTAAAAGATGCAATAGGTTTAGGGCCAGGAGATGGGAGTTAATTTGGTCAAAATGAAAGATAAACTCTAATCAGATTCCTAGCATGCATGTGATTTGGCCATTGGCAGAGACCTTGGTGAGCTGAGCAGCATTCGGAGGCTTTGTTTTCTGTGCCTTTAGCTGGAAAAACCTGCAGATGCCCTGGAAAGCCAGGGCTCATGAGTCGGTAGGGCCACTGTGGTTACTCCTGTGGCTCCCATAGGGAGAGTGCTTCTCTTTTCTCGCTGGCTCAGAAGCCCAGGACTTCCTCTGTGCATCTCAGTGCAGCTGTGCTGTTCAGCCAAGACATGTACAGAGGGGAGGGTTGCCCCATGCCACCGCCATCATCACATCACCCTCATCTTCATCACCATTCTCATTACCTCACTACCATTATCAGCACCATCTCCTCCGTCTCCACCATCACCGCAGTTATCATCGCCATCTCTGTCTCCATCGTGTCTGTAATACCATCACAACCATCCAGCATCGCCATTACCCTTATCACCATCTGACCATCAGCACCATCACCATCATCTCCATCTCCACCATCACAACGGGAGGGGTGTACAGAGGTGAATGGTCACCCATGCCCAAAAGTAGTTCATGTCACCTTTGTCATCACCATCACCTGGGAGCCCAGGAGAAGGCAGGTCTTCTGGTGCTGAGCCCTGACCAGGGTCGGCCCATCATGTCACTAACAGTAAACTGACACTTTTCAACCCAAAAGGTGGGTTTTGGTAGAGATTGTCAGCAGCCTCCTTGGTGTCCTTCTACAATGACTTCTGAAGAAAACACTTTCAGAAGACTTAGGGCCATTTGATATGGGGACAGACTCTCCAAATAGGCCAGCTATGAAAGTGGGGACAGTTCTCAGCAGGTACCCCCCACCCCCCATTCCCAGTACTCTCTAGCAACACATCTGGGCCTGTATCCTCAGCCTGGGCTTGACTTCTAACCATATCCATGAGATCCTGCTTTCAGGTGATGCTGTCTCTCAAAAACCAGGAGATTTGAGGACCTTCAAGGACTGCTAGATAAAAAGAAACAAATTCTCTCCAAGATAAGAGTCTAGAAAAGTTATGCTAGCCAGTTGTCCATGACTAACAAAATACCTGAGATAATGTAAGGAGAGGGAAGTTTTGCTCTGTTTGTAGCTTTAAATGTTTCAATCCATGGTCGGGTGGTTCTTTTGCTTTGGAGCCTGTGGCAAGGCAGTGCATCATGGTGAAAAAAGATGGTGTGTCATAACCAGAAGTTAAAGAAGAGGAAGAAGCTGGCATCCCAATACTTCTTGCAAAGCATACTTCTAGTACCTGGAAGACCCCTCACTAAATCCTCCATCCTGATGCTTTTCCTACCTCCCATAAGCACCATGGGGAGAAAACCAAGCCTTTAACATGCGGGTATTTGGAGGACACACACAAGCTCTACCTAGGGTTGAAAGCTAACCTGAGTGCATGGTTTAGCAGACCTTAGGACCAGGCCCCAACCTGGCATCTTCCACAGGTTTTAATTTGCTTAAAAATGGACCATGGTTACCCTGGGGCTGGAGAGAGGTTTGAAGTAGCTCTGTCCTGCCTCAGCCTCCTCCTCTAGCCAGGAGTATAAGGTCAGCCGGCTCCTCTTGAGTCTCCAGTTCAGATTCTGGAGCCACAGCTAGCTCTTGTTCTCTTGAGAGAGGTGAGTTGGGGTTTTCAATTTGTCATAATTCATTGTGCAGTTGTGCATAAGCCACTGCACATCTCTGGGATTCAGCTTCTCCATCCACTGGATTGATGTTGGATGTTCAGTTACTCAGCTCTCTATCACTGTGACAAACCATCTGAGACAACTTGTGAGATAGAAAGGCTTAACTTTGGCTCAGCGTCAGAGGTTTCAGTCCATAGCTGCTTGGTTCTTTTGTATTGAGTCTGTGATAAGGCAGGAGATCCTGGTGGAAGCACATGGTGGAGCACCTCATGGCTACTGGAGAGCAGAGAAAGGAAGGCTCCAGAGGCCCAGTATTCCCTTCAAGCATATTCACTGGTGGCCTAACCTCCTAAAGTTTTCCCACCTTTCCTAGCATCACAGTCTGGAGAACAAGCTGCATTAGTCACTTTCCATTGGTGAGACACAGTACCCAATACCCACTATTTAAGAGAGGAGAAGTTTTAATTTGCTTGTGATTGCAGACCAGGGCCAGCTGGCCCCAGTGCAGAGACACCATGACAGAGAATGTAGCAGAGCAAAGCTTCCTGCTTCGTAAGGGTCAGGAAGGAGAGCAGAACAAGAGTGCCAGAGAGGAAGGGGCAAGGGGCCAGACGTGAAGCCCAAGGCCTTGTCTCCATGACACATGGGCACAGCTAGAGCTATGCTCTGCCAATCCCAAGCGTGGATTCCAGAGGTAAACAACTTGAAACCCCCACCCTAACAGCCACACAAGCTTGCAATAGACAGGCCTTCAGGGACATCTAAGACCCAAGCTATGTTTGGTTTTTTGACTCCTTGCTCTTTTGTTCTGTGTCTTATCTAGATTGAATGCTCCAGTATTTCTGACTACTCAGAGAAGATCATTAAGGCCAACCACTTGGACAACAGTAAGACATACCTCCAAGTGTTTTTCTGTGTATGGAGCCGGGAGGGGCCCTGTGTCTTCTGGTTTGGGCGGCACAAACACAACAGGGAAGAGTGAAGAGCACTTGAACTTGCCAAGACCCCAACAGCAGAACCGCAGCACTAGGTGCTGAGGTCCCACCCCCAAGCCACGCCCAGGTTAGCTTTGCCCCACCTCAGCTTTCAGCAAGCTCTTCCTGAGGCTCACTCTGAGTTGCCATGACTCCTGCTTGGCTCCAGCTGTAGGCTACCTACTGAGCCTGCCAAATGGCAGCTATTCCTCCTCCTCTTCCCTCCCCACAGTCCCAGCCCCACCCCTTCCCATCACCAGCCCAACGGTGTTCCCACCAGCACCTTGCCCACAGCTCTGCTGCTCTTGGGCTGACCTGGCAATCAAGCACCTCTTGGCAGTGGGTCCTCCTTCAAACCAGAGTCTGATTAGAAAGCAGTGTGCCCCACTCCCTCATCTCACTCCTTTCCCATGGAATGTGACATTCTCTAGCTCCTTCTCTGCAGGACCCATCTTGAATACACTCAGGCCTGCAAAGTCCTTAATCCAGCAACCTCCTGTAGCTCTCTCCACTGGAGGCCTTATGCTCAGTGCTGGGAGGGTGGGGACACCATACAGGGTCCAGAGTGCAGTGAAATCATCTCATTGTGGAGATGGGAGAGCAGCAGGTGGAACAGAAGCTGCAGTCCAGAGAGTGAGATGAGGGGAGGTGGCTTGAAGGGGCAGAAGCTATAGGGTCTGGGAAGTGCAGGTACAAAGAAAAAGCATCCACATAAAGTTCCACTGGGTAGAAAGGATGAGGTTAGGAGGGGGTGACATTCCCATGGAGGCCTAGGAAGGAGGGCTGGTCAGGTTTAGGCGAGGAAAGAGAGACCAGAAAGAGAGGCCAAGAAAGGAAGAAAGAAATCTACTTCTGTGGTTGTTCCTGAAGGAGCCGAACACTGAGGTCACACGTGCAGCCTCTGTGAGCCCCAGACACCAGGAGTCAGTGTCCTTTCCTCCATGTTTGAGCCACGCTTCCTGCTGTCATAGGAGCCTGCTGACAGGTGCTCCATGGATCTGACCTGAGCACCACCGCAGTGCTCCCTGCTCCCACACACTTCCACATGCCTACTTCTTCCTGATCTCAGCCCTGCCACCTGTCCTGTTTGCTACTGAGTCCTTGAAAAGGGTGTGTTCTCCTGGGAGGCAGGCTATGGGGGCAGAGCAGGAAACCAACTTCATGCATCACATCCTAGAGGGGAGTAGAGTTAAATCAATCAGGAGACAGTCAGGAACAATCCAGGTGGTGGTTAGCATTTCTCTGATCATTGAAGCAGGATGATAAGATCCCAAGGGACCTGGTGGATGCATCGGGTTAGATCCTGTCTGAGGGGATCATATGGGAATTCTGATATGAAGTACATGAAGAAGTAGGGTAATCGAGTATCTTAGTCCATTTTCTGGTGCTATAGCAGAATACCTGAGGTCAGGTAACTTACACAGAAAAGGTTTAATTTGACTCAAGGTTCTGGAGGCCAGAAAGCCCACAATTGGGCCGGTAGTTCTGTGAGAGCTTTACTGTTTCACATGCTGGCAGGTGGAAGAGGCTGTGAGCAAGCACAAAAGAGGCCACATGGTGGGACAGGAAGCCGGAGAGCAGGAGCAGCACCCTGCTCTCAGAGCAACTGACCCCCGTGTCCCCAGAATGCATTCATGCATCCAAGAGGCTCTGCCCTGGGACTGAACACCTTTCCCCTCCTAACACTGTGACAAGCAGAAACTGAGGCTTTGGCACACGAATTTGGTGAAACACTAAAACCACAGCACCAGAGGAAGAGAATCCCAGCTGAAATTATAGCTGGCATGATGCGTAAGCATGAACTCAGCAGGCCCAGGAAACAGGAAGAAGTCTCTGCATTCAGCACATGGAGAGCACAGGAGCTAGAAGGAGCAGGCCCATGTCATACAGGCTGGATCTGGTGCTCTGGGAGAGGAAGTCTTTGGAAGGATTTTGAACAAGCAAGGAGGCATCTCTGGAGAATGGGTTGGAAAGGATTGTAGGTGATGAGACTGCTTGAAGATGCACGTCTGAAAGGTTCTCAGTCCATGACGGGGCTGTGCCATGGGCCAGCGTGGTAGCAGTGGATGGAGAGAAGCGATATCCGTGGGAAGCCTGGAAACACAGGCAGGAAGCCTCAGGTGGATCACATATGGAAATGAGACCAAAGAGTGGAGTAGGGGTGAATCTTATCTGGCATAAGCTGCTGGGTAGAGGGAGCCTGGCTGGGGTGGCAGGTCTGCAAGGAGCTCGGGAGCTGTGCTGTGAGGGTAGAGGAGAGGATGGCTGTGCATGGACAGCAGTTTGTGGGATGGGATTCAACAGTGTGGCAAATGTGGGGAACCAGACAAGCATTCATTACCAACTATACTTCAGACGTATGCCAATTGGGAAGCACTAGTAATTCAAAACACATTTTGTTTCAAAAAAAACCCAACAGGTGCTGAGCTGACATTTGAAAATGGCATTTATTTTCACTTTCTATGCATAAATTTGGTTACTGTCAAACATTTTCTCATGTATTTATATTATTACAAAAAAGAAGGAACCAAGAGCTTCTTTAGTACTTGTCCGGTTTGAGAGGCCCGCTGGCCAGCAGGTAGATCTGTTAGAGCTGAGTGTGGAATTTTGTGGAGGGTCATAGCACACGGCCTATGCTGGGGCAGGGGGGTGGGGAGCTGGCAGAATGTGCAGCTAGAGGAAAAAGGACAAAGATAGACGGGCCAGAGCAGTGCCACTAAACTTGGCTCCACAGAGGCTCTGGTGCTCTTAACAAGAGACAACTCATTGCAGAAGTGGGGACAGAAGTTCAGTTAGAGTGGCTTAAGGGTTAACTATGAGGCTTAGACCAGAAATATGTTTTCCTGCTGTGATGCAGGGTGGAAAAACAGAGCAACAGGTGCAGAAGCTGTCTGTGAAGAGACAGACAAGTTGCAGATGCAGGAAAAAGAGTCAGCTCAGGAGCAAGGGCCTTGAGAAAGAGCAAGTGGTGTCTGGACGTGGCTTGAGAGAACAGGTGGTGGTGGCCTTCATTGGGGACTGAGCAGCAGCATGGAAAGCCCAGATTTGGGTCCAGGCACAGGTGTGTGCAGGCCCTGCTGTCTTGCTCTCTACCCAGTGAAGAGTAAGCCAGATGATGGCAGAGAATTGATGGAAGAGACTGCGTGAGGCCTGGGATGGTGTGGGGAGGTGGCAGGGAGGTTGCTGTGGCCTGAGGATGTCTCCCGGAGGAGCTGAAACTGCTTGGAGGTGGCTCTAGCCCACGTTGCTACAGAGCTGTCTTGAGCACATTCAGCAGCCTGGGTGCAGTAGAGCAAAGCTGTGTTGGGGCTTTGGCAGGAAACTGATGACAACAGGCCACAGGATCCATGTGAGCTTCTTGTTTCTGTAATGAAATACAAGCTGTGTACAAAAAAGAGGTTTACTTAGCTCCCAGTGCTCAAGGTGTGAAAGCTGCAGTGATAGGACTCTGTGGTCCCCTGGGCTGTGGGGAGCACCGGTCAAGGTCACATCTCCAGCCAGGGAGCATGGGGCAGGGGCTGCCTGTTCACTGTGCAACAACCATCTTGCAAGAAGAAGGCACTGCAGAAGCCACTGAGCACTGCCAGGGACTGGGGAACCCCTGCAGCTCACCCCTCCAAATTCCATGACTTTACAGCAGCTGCACCCTGGGCACAGAGCCGTTAGCCTATGAGCCACAGTCAGAGCATGATGGACTGCAGGCTGGGAAAGTGAGGGACCCGGCAGGTAAGGGAGGGTGAGGGAACTGGCTGGAGCTCTGGCAGGCAGCATGTGCAGTGGCTGTGAATGCCACCGCATTCTAGATGCCTGAGAGAAGAGTGCATTACTCAGATCCCCCATCTTCTGGCTTGGGGTCCAGCATTCTTTGCTTCACCAGGGCCTGGGTGTCTCCTGTGTGCTTCTCAGATGCATGCTGTGAATGGAAAGAGCAACCCCTCCACATCCTTTTAAAAATGGGAAACAAAAACTGGTTGGTTCTTTCTGCAGAGGCACAACACAGCCCAGCATTCACAGCTCTGCATCTAGTCTCCTCCCAAATTCTGTATGGTCTGCCCCATTTCACAGACATGGAAACTGAAGCCAGCAGTGATGGATGACTGAGTTGTGCCTGGGACATTCAGGCCTGGCTCTTGCTCTCGTTCCCTTTCTAAAGTGCGTTTCTATCCATGAGGCAGAAACGAGACTCTCGGTGGAGGGCAGTGAGTGCAGATAAATACAGAGTCAGATTTCCTCTAGGGGCCACCACCAAGGTCACCCCAGCCCAGAGAGTCTCTCCCTGTAGGGTTTTTTTGTTTTTGTTTTTTACCTCTGTGGGTCTAGGGAACCCCCGCTCCTCATCTGTCTGTCTGCTTGCCAGCTCCCCTGCCTCCTGGGCACTCCTCTAGCCTGCAGCAGGTGCCACCCTGTGCCTCTTGTATTGGCACTGTTCCAGGCAAAAGCCAGTAGGGCTGGGCCAGCATCACCAGGAGCCGGTAGCTTCCAGACTTTCATTTTGGACAGGTCTGCTTGCACTGCAGACCTTATTCCCAAGCAGACCTTATTCCTGAATCCCCCTCCATGGTCTCCTTCTCCCCTCAAACCCTTGGCATTCCTCCCTTCTTCTTCCACTTCCCTTTTCTTTTCCTTCTTTTAACCTCTGAGTACTCTAAGATGTACAGAAAAGGTGCAAGGCACCTGTGTGTAACTCCAGCATTCTGGGGTATAAGGCAGAAAGATCACAAGTTCAAAGGCTTTCTGGGTGGGCCAGGGATATAGTGCAGCGGCACAAGCACCTTCCTAGCAAGTACAAGGGCCTGAGTTTGATTTTTGGGACCAAAAGCAAACAAAGACATTCTGAGCAACTTAGCAAGACTCTGTCTTAAAGAATAGCTGGAGATCAGGCCTGGGTTCAGTACTCAGTACCACAAGGGAAA